GACTTGGTTCTATGGTAGGTCTTAAAGGGTTAAATACTAAATTGACCTTCGGTTTTGTTTTTATCTGATATGGTTAAATGTGAAATGTCTGACTTGGTTTTGTTTGATAAACAATTTGGTGTTTCTGAAGATAAATATTAAATTGACTCTTATTTTTTGTTTGTTATCATCAGTCAGTAGCTAAAATAATTAACTGGTATTTGTTGTATGTTTATTTTTTGAATTTTTGATCCTTCTACTGATTTGCAATTTGTTGTTATCAGTTAATAGCTATAGAGTTAACTGCTAATTGGGTTTCTATTCTGAGTTTCCTTTGAGTTGATTTCTGATATAATTAAACAGCCATGGAATTAACTGGTATTTGTTCATATTTGCCTCTGCACTTTGATCATTATAATTGACTTTGTTATCAGTTGTGATCAATTTACAGCTATAGAGCTAACTGCTAATTGGGTTTCTAATCTGATTCTCCCTTAAATTGATTTCTGACATCAGGAAACAGCTATAAAGTTTGGCATTTGTTTTCGTGTCTGTTTTTGAATATTGATCAGTTTAATTTGATATTGTTATCAGTCTGTAATCAGCTGACAGCTATAGAATTACCGGTATTTGTTTCTGATCCTTGCAGTTGATCTTGAGATTAATTTTTATTATCAGTTGGTGACAAGTTGATAATCTTGGGGTTAGTTTTTGCTTTTACATTTGATCTTATATTTGATTTTTGTTGGACTGATAAATGTTAACAGTTCTAAATTAACTGCTATTCTGTTTATGCTGTATAATTTTCTTTGATTGACTCTTATCTGTTTAATGTATAGTTAACTGAGTGAATCAATTCCTCAATTCATTATCATATTTGTTTTGTTTGATTCTAAAATAATTACTGTTAAGTTTATTGATAAATCAAATCTTATTATGTTTGATTAATTCCTTATCAAGTCTTGTTAGAGATTCTTTTTGAGTTAATTCCTAAGCTGAATTTTGACATGGTTGATCTCATCTTTTATTAGTTTAATACTGTGTTTTTGTTTTTGAATTCTTTACCAGCTGGGTTGAAGAGCTGTGATTTTGCTTGCTTTGAATTAAAATCATTAAGTTTGCAGTTTTTATTTTCAGTATTATTTTATTGTTAAAATTGATATTTGCAATTTCGGGAAAAGAGAAAAGCATTGCTTTGTCATTGTTTCAAAATAGAGGTTGAGTGTCTAATTCTTAGTCATTGGTGACGTTGAATTTCAGTTTCGGTTTCAAAGAATAAAAGAAAGACGTAATAATAATTAGACCTGGGAGTAAGGGAGCCCTTGTTCCTAGAAGAAAACAAAAAACAGATTTCCGTCAGTTGTTCCGTCTGTCACATCTCCAATGGTTGTACCAGTTGTCATTAACGTGGCTTCACTCCACATCAGCCACGCTGCTTTGCCAGCTAAAACAGCGGTGTCGGCACATAAGGACGCTGTCATAGCCTGTCAACCACGTTGATTAGCTGCGTATATACGAATGTGAATCGCATCATTGGCTGGACTATGGGATAAGGCGTCGTTCTAATCCCATACGGGAGCAGCCAGTCACTTGAGTACAGAAGAAGACAAGAAGAGATGTGAAAGGTGACAAGGGGAATAAGGTGGTGCAGCCACCCAAGAACCATTTTGAGTGACTTAAGAAAAATAACAACATCAAAATCTGCATTGTTTTTTCGCCTGACTCGGCACAGCCATGGCGCGATGTTAGTGATGACAAGTCAGGAGCCTCCTTGAATAAACTTATCTTGGATTGGGAACAGGACCTTGCGTTGCACTAGGATCTCTTTGGGAAACCAGTCGTTGAAACTGAAGTCCGTTCCTCCCAGCTCCCAGCCACAGTTCTTCACCAGCTCTTTTTGTTTGAAGTGTTCAAATTTAGTCACAATCGGTCTGTGTCTGCGTGCATCAGCTCATCAACCTCCCAAACAATGGACACGATGGAAGCGGATGTTTTTAACTACATATTCCGAAGTTTGAGGTGAGTCTGGATGAAATGACTAGCTGTTGTTTTGGGGTCCTCTTCTGCCTTCTCTGGTACTCATGAAAACACCAAGTTGTCCTTCACGTGGTGCTCGATGACAGTTTCTTAGACTTAAAAAAAATAATTTCTTCTGAGATCCGGGCAGTTCCCTCAGTGAGGGATTTCACAGACCTGAATGTTTCCACCTGCTGCAGGCGTAATGCCATGG